TTCCTTAAACCTATCTTCATTGCATTCTGATTCTTGATTCATTATTTCGAAGTGTAACAGCGTTTTAGGATATGGGCATGAAGTCCGCAAGCATGTCATGTTATTAAAATCTTCATTAACAGAACTGAAAAAAGAATAAGAAAAATGACAAGATTCAGAAAAGAGACATTCCTGGACAATAAAATATTTATTTTATTTGATTTTTTTATTTCGATTGATTGTTTGAATTTTAAAGATAGAAGTGTTTACACCGGAAAGTAAAACAATAAAGTAAAATATCTGGATCATGCCCTGAGATAATCCGGACGCATAAAGGATAGCAAGACTAGCTACCGAGACTCTCGTCTGATAGGGAACTTCAGGCTTGGAGATCGTTTTTTAGCTTTTCTTCTGTCTCTGCATTGGTTGAAACGGCCTTCAGTGCCGGATCAAATTCCTCATCTCCACAAATCATTCCAACTATTGGCCCGATGTTGTGAGCAGGCAACGGATTGTTCGTCACATCAGGAGCCTCTTCGTCCTGAAGAACGATTCTTTCAACTTCAATCAGGTCTTCAACTGCTCTTTTGAGGGTCCAATAGTCCTTCGCACAGTGTCATACTACTCCAGAGTGGTATTCACATATAACATCAACTCGGTGCGAGGGTGACTCGGGGCCACTGGCTGCAATAGATCTAGCCTGATTAGCTTTTGGAATAAGTTTGAATACGATTCACCAATAGTGGTAAACTGATTCTTTCTGCAAAAGATCTCTTAGGCGAGGATTGTACAGGGGGACATTTGGTTAGGGATTATATGGAGCTTGGTAAGGATGGGCCTTTCTGGGAGGTGGAGATCGGTTTTGTGTATAATGTTATGGTTGTGTGTAAGGTTGCGCTTTCATCACCGAATAGGAAGGCGATGCCACAGCATAAGCAGCATCTTGAAAGGGATAATAGTGTGGTGGTACCTTAGGAAGCACATATGATTGGCTAAATGACATGCGGGCCCTCCTCGAGCTCGAAGCCATCGTGGCTTACTCTCTCTCCCATTTTTGTTCATCAAACCCTCTGAACCGTTCTGAGTAGCCTAAGATGTGGCCTTAAAAGCAGCATGACTCAATATTCGACCTGTTTTTAAACCCTTTTCAACCACTTCCCCAATTTTGATAGCTCAGCGAATGGCTTACCCATAGCGGACATCATGTTCTAGAAGTAGTCCGCCTCTTGGGCCTGTAGAAAGACCGCAACCATTTCTTCTTCGTCCATTAGAGGCTTTATCCTGGCAGCTTGCTCACGCTATTTGACTGCATATTCACAGAAGCTTTTTGTGGTTTTCTTTTTCAAATTGAAGAAAGAGTTCCTGTCGGAAGCGATGTCGATATTATACTGGAACTGGCGGACAAAATCTTGGGCCAAATAATCTCACACATACCAATGAGTAATTTCTTGATCCATATACCACTAGAAAGCGATTCTGGTTAGGCTTTCTCCAAAATAGGCCATTAGCAACTCCTCTTTTCCACCAGCACCCCTCAGCTGGTTACAATATCGTTTTAGATGAGCGATAGGCTCTCCGTGCCCATCGTACTTTTCAAATTTTGGCATCTTAAAGCCAGTCGGCAAGTGAACATGAGGAAACATACACAGGTCAGAGTATGAGACACTCTTTTGGCCACTCAGACCTTACATGTTTTTCAGACTTTGTTCCAGTTTTTTCATCTTTCGAGCCATTTCCTCTTGCTCGGGATTTTTGACAAACTTTTCTTGCTCCACCGTGAGATCATATTGCGGAGGTTGAGTAAAGGAGTACGGGGTCACATATGTTATTTCTGGTTGAAGCTATGGACCCTAAAATGTGAACATTGGAGGCTTAACATATGACCACGGTAAAGTTGGTTGTGCTGTAGTGTAGACTATTATTGTAGAGAACATCAATGGTGGTGCTTTTGGGGCGGCACCTGGAGGCGAACCACGGAAAGCATTCCGAGACCGTTGAACAGCATTGGAAGGTACCCGCATGGATGAAAGGGTTGGGCACAGGGGCGTTGGTAGCCTCACCTGACCTGGATATCAACCCAGGGAACCCTGAGATTGCACTTGGTGGTTCTCTACCATTAGACTAGGCGTCCCACATTTCCAATATGCGGAGACGAAACATCATATTCTCTTCAGCAACTACTGATTCTGGCTGTGGAATAGCCAACGTCGGGCTATCCTTAGGATCGATAATTGGTAGATGACTTTCGGAGGCCATAGGAACCCTGCCTTTGGGTCTTGTGAAGTAAGGATGGGAAACCAGATAACCAATAAAACCAACCACTTGAACAGAACCTGGCTAATTTGCACACCCAACAACCTTGTTAGTTTTGAGACGCTTAACAGATAGGAAATCGCACGTTGGGATGCAATGCACTTAAACCGTTAAACGCTTCTACCATGTGTTTGAAAGATTGCATGTTTCATCCCGACCTTAAACTAACCCTTTTTCACTCTATACCTCTTTTCTTTCATTTCTGCCTTTCTTTAATCACTACTCATTTTATTTTTGTTGCTCTTTTATTTTTGGCACTCTTTTTTTTCTTTTTGTTTTTGTCACTCTTTTATTTTATTGTCGCTCTTTTTTTCCATTTTTTTTGTCACTCTTTTCTTTCTTTTCACTCCAAAATTTTTTTTAGCTTATTATTCACTCAATTAATTTTATCACTATGATCGAATCTGATGGGGATTGTCTACGTATCATGACGCCGCATGAATCAGATCTTTAAGTAGTTCAAGAATACCGGGAACAGAGTAAATAAACTAACTCTATTTTTTCTTTGTTTACTTTTTATAAAACTCACACCATAAAAGCTTTTAGAAAAAGAAAAATATATTATTTGAATTTCATTTTTTAGTTTTTTTTTTAGAATTTTCGAAAAAAGGGCTTAACAGATTTATTAGAAAAAGAAAAATATATTATTTGAATTTTATTTATTATTTTTTTTGAATTTCTAGGAGAAAGATTTATGAAGAATGGAAAAACATATTTTTTTTATTTGATTTGTTTTCTTTTCAAATGAAAAACTTATACAAAGAAAATATTTTTGTGTTTGTAGAATTTTTTCTTATTATTATTTTTATTTGTTTGGGATTTTCTAAGAAAAGACTCCCAAAGAAAGAACTAAAAGAAAATATTGTTTGAATTTTTAAAAATTGGGGCCGAAACCAATGAGGTTTGCCTACGTATCTCACATCCAGTAAGAATCAGACCCGCGTAGTTCGGTCAGTTTTGACGGAACAGGGAAAACATGACTTAATTTGAAAACATTGGCTTATTTTCTTCATTTTTCTTTCAAAAATTTTGGTAGAGTTTCAGAATTTTCAAATACCTACCTCTGACTCTTTCTTTCTTATTTGATTTTTTTTACTTTCTTTCCTTATTCTAGAAGCTGGTCAACATGCAAGCCGAAACAAACAGATGCGTAAGTAGCACATGGGATAAATCAAGATGTTCTTTTAATTTGGGTAAACCTATCCTAAACGGACTCAACCCCTATGTTGAGTCCCCAAAGTCAAATGCACATAATGCAAACAAACGTTCCTACTAGGGATCCAGCATGAGGCTATGCTTTTCTAGGTTTAAATACTGGGTGTATTGTTCTAGACCTGGCTTACCCGAGCGGACAACTCGAGCCAGGGGGGAGGGGAGGGGCAGTGTACCGGGAATACAGAAGCTTCACCGATTTTGCAACTTGTATGAACCTCGTTCTAAAATTAGGATATGACTCTAACAGAAAAGAAGTCACGCAAAGAGCACGCTTCCCAGAGGATTTAGAAGGCTCAAAGAGAAGAAGGTTTAGTAACAGTTTTATATACAGTTAAAACAATATCAAAGCGGTAAAAAGCGGCATTTAGCACATTAGGCTCAAACACGTAAAAATCATATAATAAATAAAAGCCAACTATAACAGTTATTCTAAGCTCGAATTCTGAACCCTAAGCCAGAGATTCTAGGTTCTTATCCCTAGTGGAGTCGCCAGAGCTGTCACACCTCCTTTTTCCCGAGGGGAGAGGGAGTTTTTCCAATTAAAGTGATATTATTCGAAATAGGATCATTTATTTAATTTAGAGTTGTCACTTGGGATAATTTATGGTGTCTCAAGCCACCGGTTTATTTTAAATCCCAAATCGAGAAAATTTGACTCTATTTTTAAGTCTGCAAACACAGAAGACTGGGTAAGGAATTCTGTTAACCAGGGAGAAGGGGTGAGGCATTCCCGAGTTCCGTGGTTTTAGTACGGTTACTTAACTATTAACAATTGGCCTAATTATCTTATTTATTACATGTTTAAAGCCTATTGTGCATTTTTACTTTTTTAAACCGCTTTTAATAGAGTTTTAATTGCTTTTAGGATTTATGAAATTTATTTAAATAAATCGCGATATTGCGCACTTATTGTTTTTCTACACATTGTGAATCGCGTCACGTGAAACGCACCCGCAATTTACAACATGTTTATTTTAATTATTATTTGAAGTTATGGTAGAGTTATGTGAAACGCAGACTCAAACTGGGATTTATGTATCGTGATCATGCCACAGGAACAAGGTTCAAAGGCACGATGATTTTTTTAAATGCGCCTAAAGTAAACTACGATTATTCATGAATTAATTATTGCTCAAAGTTGTAGTGGGAGAGTCTAAGGGATTATGGAAACTTTAAGCTGGCCTAAAGTATAACCTCTCTTTTAGTTTGGAGCCGAAACTAAGGTCGAGCTTATGTTGGTTTGTTGGGGTCTGTGTAGTGAATAAAGAATTCTAAAGAATTTTGATCATATTAGTCCTAATTGGACCCTCCATGGGGAGTCCAACTCA